TTGTCAAGACCATTACTCATTTATTAATTTCTCTTCTTCGAAGCAATTAATGGACAGTAAATCCTCAACCAAAAAATACACTAATTGAAATATTCTATTTTTTCAATCAATGGACAGTAAATCCGTGGACAGTAAATCCACGGACAGTAAATCGTGTACAGGATTGATCATGATCTATAATCAAGTTGTAATTGGTTCAAACTCTTGACCAATAACTTCGGATAACGAGATAAAGACTTAGATTTACACAGCTTTATCTTATTTCTTTTGCTTAACAACTATACGATTAATAGGTATAGTTGCCTTATTGTTACTGGTTCATATTTATTAAAAAAATTTAAGACAAAATCATATTATTTATATTTTTGACAAGCATATAATCAATACTTGTTTTTTGTGTACTCAAAAAGTGAGTACACTCTAGAATCGGTTAGTATGTCCGGCCATTTACACGATAACTTTCGAAAGGAGAGTCCGATCACGATGAAATTTTCTATACAGTTCAGTCTTAACAATGTCTCGGTCGAGTTCGAAGATGAGAAGGATCCGTCAAGAAATGGCTGACTTATAGAAAAAATTGTCATTATTGAGAAGACAATCCCTGAAGGGGGAGGGGGGTTTACAGGGATTTTTTCAAAAAAAAACATTTTTCTCGGAATTATTCACAACATATACAAATCGAGTCAGTTTTTAATGCTGATTCCGAATCTGATATTAGTTTTAAACCAAATCGTAGCTTTCTAAGAAAACATCGTCTGAAAAAGGTGTAAAAATGCATAAAAACAGCATGGAGAAATCAAATAGGCTAGATATGTCTCAGATGATAAAAAATAAAGTGAATATACCTGTTCACTTTTTGAAGTACACATAACACTCGGATTTAAATCCGAGGTTTTCGCATGTATTTATAAGTTAATTTATAATTACTTTTTGAATAAAATGAACGACAACTCAAACATATTAAAAAAAAGTCATTATTTGTATGAAATCACTTTTTGGACCCGGACTCGGTTATAACAAACTTTCAGACCCGGACCCGGACCCGATAATGAAAAATATTCCGACCCGGACCCGATAATAAAAAATATTCAGACCCGGACCCGGACCCGTACCCGACCGGGTCCGGATTCGGGTCCTACCCGACGGGCTCTACCCTTGATCACTCTTTAACCGTCCAAGCTCATTGTAGATAAATGCTTTATCACTTTCGTCAGATGTCTGTTCTAGTTGTGCAGTAAATAATTCTTCAGCTTTGTCGAGCTGATCCAATTTGAGCAACATTTTACCCAATCGTGTCCATCCTGTCGAATCTGCAATTTCTTCTCGTAAACGATTAGTTAATTGACGAAGTTGGGGATCGTCATCTGACGTAAGCTTAAGATTTACTTGATAAAGTGGACGATTGTTGTCAAGTTTTTGAATGTCACCAATTCGAAAAACGGCGTGCATGGAGAAGAGGATTTCATCATCTTTCGGGAAATAGCTCACCTCTCGAATCGAGGCAAAGGGAATCGATGAGACAGTAGGATCTATGGTCATTTGAAAAAGAATACCAACCATACCGTTTGTTCCTAATGCATCTTTGGCGAACTCGAGGGATACATCTCGACTTTTATTGGTGGACAAAAAAATTGTTGAAAGATATAAGTCCACCTTTGTTTTTCGCCAAGTTCTCGAATTCGACTGTCGATAATTCTTGTGCCCAATAAACTAGAAAGGTATTTCCGTGACATAGACTGACCTGTTTGTAATGTAAACTTTCTATTTGCCGAGACACATCACAAAGAAAAAATCCCATTCTTATAATGATGTCGCAGTCGAATGTTCTTAATGCCCGATTGAGCATTTTGTACGTGAAGCATTCGCGTGTATACCACCATATAGCCTTTGATGGTCGATAAGTACGTTCGAATTCGTCAATAATATTTAATTCTTTTGTATTGCCCAAGTATTGTTGTTGACAAAACGTGACCAAATCTTTGATAGCTTGTTGACCATATGTCATATCAAGGAGAATTTCTTTGAATATTTGGGAATACATGAATGAAGGTTCTAGCTGATTGAGATTTTCACTAGAACCTCTTTCATTCATACTGATACTGCTTGCTAAGATGTTATGTTGATCGCATTGCTTGATTGCCATTTGTAGAGCTTTGCAAATGGGTTCGATTGATGTATGAACACCTTTTACTTTGATCCAATTTTTAGTCCATGCTTCATGTCGTTCTTTGTCGCCATAAAAGATATAAACAACATCTAATTATGGCATGCCGTGAATATGTGGCACGAGATATTGTCCTAGTACACCAGAGGAGATAACGAAATATGTTTCCTCATTATTTTCATTGATAATTCGAATACTTTCTGCCGCTGTCGTGCAAGAGCTCACCTCATTTGCCGACACCCCGCAATTGTACTAATGTGTTTGTACAATCTGCATTTACTTGGTCAATTTTCCCATCAACCCAGACGACCAAATAATTTTCAGCCCTGTGTCGTTGTCATCACGCAGTTGTTAATGAGGTTATCGTATTTGCAGTGGTATCCATTGTCGATTTGGAAGTACTTTCTTTGGAAAGGTATCCACCCATATTGGATATAATTATTGTTGTTGGATCGTTTATCAATTATGATAAATACTAGACTCTTGTTTGGACAGAGATCATCTTTTCTATTACGTTAAACGTGGATTTTGTTTTTTGTTGACACTCAACAATAAACTTCACTGAGTTTCAATTTTAGATATCGTTATCAACAACAAACAAAAAGAGAAAAACCGAACAGCATCATGTATCTTTATGATTATTTCTTCCAACTTTCGTTGACTTGTTTTGTTTTTCATGGACTTTCATCGTTCTTACAAAGGGTGTGTATCTGAGTGTCGGTGTTTGTTTTATCCACACCTACACCCTATTTATTCTGATAGACACGGGGGAAAGAAAGCAATCATTAATCATCTTTATGAATGAATCTTAAAGATATTCTCTTAGCTTAATTAACTATGCACAATCTTTTTTCTTTATGATAATCTATCATTTAAACATTCAATGCTGATGCTACATCCAATGTAAAAATACACCAACTATGAATGAAACTCAATAAATGTGATATTTTTTCACTGATATCATTTATGATAATTTTTATTTTTCTATTAAAAGAATGAACAAAATTATATTTGTAAATCTTTTTCTTTCTTGTTATTTTATTATATTTGTTTCTACGCTCGTAGTTCTATTTCTTACAAGACAACAAATTAGTATTGGTACATATTGAGATAAAAATCGACCTACACATGTTTTCATAGCAAATAAATAAAATCGATTTTGATAATCATTATCTTCTTATTGTCATCATTTGTATCATATGAAATAATGATGATAGTTCATCTTTTTTTTATTCTTTTAATACCATATGTATACATGATCAATATAATACAAGTAAGTGTATCAATTGATTCATCAAATAGTTGGATTGTTCAAAATGAAAATGAAGGCTTCATTATTGATTGTGGTTGTTATTGGGAACATGGTTTAGTACTTGGTCAAAAATGGCGTGAAAAATTTTCTAATGGTACATTACCATCATTTATTTTTCTTACACATACACATCCAGATAATATTCTTGGTCTTGTTAGTCTTTTGAATGAATTGAATGTTACTCAATTACCAGTTTATGTTAGTAATTCAGGTGCTTTAAATGAAATGAATTATTGGCTAGAAATTTGGCGTCGAATTAATCCATTTGAAACATCAATATTACTTGATCAACGTCAATCACCTGATCAATTTTTATATAATGATCATATTAAAGTACTTGATCGTCCATTAACTATATTTAATAATGAACAAATACATATCATTTCAAATTTTCCCACTGCTGAATCAATTCATTCATCAATGATTTATATACCTTCAATAAAAGCTTTATTTACTGGTGATCTTGTTGTTGTACGTAGTCATTTATTTGTATCACCATCGGATACTTATCCTGATTCAGATAATCATGTATGTAATTGGATAGGTATTTTACAAAGTCTTAGTTGTACATTTTCGGAATCTACAATTATTTATCCAGCACATGGAGATGGACCATCAACAATGTCATTTATTGATACAATCGATACAAATATACGATGGTTAACTTATATGAGAGCACTTGTCTTTAATTCATGTAATACAACATTTGTTATGCGTATATTAGAAGATGTTTTTCGTAATTATTCAAATATCGAACAATCACGTGCATCTCTTGCTAATCGAATTCCACAATCAGCTATGGCAATGGGTTGTAAATGTTCTCAAAATTCTCCAAATACTTGTGGTGGTCTTCAACCACCTACATGTCAATTTATACCAAAAAATAAAACTCAATCATTAGAATCAATTGCTATGCCTATTGGTTGTATTCATAAAAAATTATTTTCATCATGCTTACGTCTCGAAATTAAATATTCTATTCTGTTCATTATACTTTTAATAAATATAACTTTTAATATATTTTAAATATCATCTAGTTCTTCTTGTTATTCTGTTTCTTTTTTGTTTCAATAGAGTACAATAATGACGTGCTCAAAAAAAAACAAAAAAAAAAAAACGATATGAATAGTTTAGGCTTCACCTTCGCCTTCATTTTCTTCTTGATTGATATTAAAGTAACGTAATTCATAAGAATCTTTGGAATTAGCAATAACACGTAACCAATCTCGAAGTTCATGTTTTTTTAAAAATTTTTTTGTTAAATATTTCATATATCTAAAAAAAACCCAAAGAATTACAAATATGTTTTTTTGTTTTTATTTATTGAAAAAAACAAAAAGAAACTTTACCGTTTTGAAAGTGGTATTTCAGATGTTACTGAAATTTTGGCTTTCGATTTTTCAATAGCAACATTACCAGCTAAATTTGATGTTTTACCATTAATCTTCATTTTTTCAACTAAAAACCGTTCCTAAGTAAAAGAATATAATTATTAAATAAAATAAAAATATATTAATACATACAAATGCATTAAGATCAAAAATACCATCTTCAACTGGATGTGTACAATCGATATAGTATTTAATTGCCTTGGCTTTCTTTTTAGCACCACTTTTTGCACCTTTTGATGGTGTTGTTGTTTTTTTCGTAACTTTTGTTGATGTTTTAGCTAATGATGATGTTGATTTAGCACTTGGTGTTGTTGCCTTTGGTTTAGCTGGAGCTGGTGTTGTTGTTGGTGGTGGTGATGTAGCTGTAGCTGTTGCCGGTTTTTTAGTTAATTCAGCCTTCTATTTTATTAATTCATAGAATGAAATGAAGGAATAAAAAGCATGTTCAAATATACCTCTGCTTTTGGTGGAGCTGGAGTTGCTGTAACTGACTTTTTATTGGCAACCGAAGCTTTTTTAGTAGCTGATGTAGCAGTAGCTGACGTTTTTTTGTCAGACATATTGGAATTGATAGAAATAGAGATTAAAACGGATCTGAAAAATAAGAAAAAAAGTAAGAGTAAATTAATTTGATTGAAAAAAAAAACATTCACAAAAAATATGTATAGAAGAACTGACAAGAGAGAGATATCTAATTCTTTTTGCTTTTTTGAATCAGCATTGTTTATTTCTTGTTAGATGTCCATATTTTTTATTGGTTTTTTACAAATCCATATGTTCCTGAATAGAAAAAGTATATGTTTCAAAAGAATTTTCTTTTATTAAATTAATTTAAAAATTTACTTTTTTAAATTGGAATATGAAAACATCATTTTAAGTCAGAAATAGATGTCACTAATGTCTGGTCTCATATTCAAGAAGGTGTATGTTCTATCGACTTTGTATTTTGATTATGACTGAGTCTCTATAGTACAAGAAGGGATTTCAATGAATGCTGAGATTCGATGTTCCAAAACTGTAGAAATATCTTTCCATTTTGTGTGGATGGATATGGGTTTGGGCCCAGCTGTGTGTCAGATGCAAGAAGATACACACCCACACCCCAATTATTTGAAACATCATCATTAGTTGAAATTAAATTAAATTATAAAACTAATGTAAGTAGACAATCTATTATGGCAACTAAATAACAAGATGGACTTGTTAATGGTAATATTCCTTGTTTAATTATTACACACATTATTTGAATACCAAGTGAAACAAAAACTCAACGATTAATGAATAAGGATGAGCGACTTTATCTGAATATAATTCTTCTTTATTGTGAACTTCGGAAATATATTTTAACAAAAAAGATTACAAGAAAATAATATCGACTAAACATTAATAAATAATTTATCAGACAAAATTTGAATAAATATAATGAAAGTAGCATATATAAGCATAGTATATACAAAACAAAAGAAACTTATTGATAGTATTATAAGTGAATATAATAGTAAAATATGTCATCACAATTTTGTTAACGAAAAATATATTTCAATTTCATGAAATGTACTACTACGTTGGAAAACAACGATTAGACATAAAACATATGTAATAAGATATCAGATTGTATTTAGGATCATTAATATATCCTTTTGAATATTTCGCTTTTTGCATATCACTAGCAACTTAAATAAGGGTGTGGGTGGTTGCATCTGTGTGGAAATAGATTAGGACACTCAAGCCTACACCCACGTCCTTCATCCATTGTCGGCAGTGAGTCAATATTAGTACAAATCATCACTAAAAAAGAATATTCTAAGAGTCAATCTAAAAGATCAAATAAAGAAAGATATTACATTTTGTTCAAAGACTTCATTGAAAATGACTGAACACAAAAATGAAAATGCTCAACGAAATCGTCACAGAAGAACTGTTAACAGTTCTTTCATATCCAATCAATCGCTAGTGAGACCAAAAGAGGACTCCACCAACTAAAAGTTTTCGATCTAAAAAAGAGGCTCTCGGAGTAAATGCTCCCGGTAGGAAATGCGTCATTCGACTCAGAATTAAATGCGGAGGTTTTTTTATATAAGATTCACACCATAAAACCAATTGCCCGAGTATCTTACTGATAAAATGCATTACTGATGATCAAATCTGTCTATTCACGTATGAGTCATGAAGATCTAATTATATACCATTTTCGATTATCTCTCTTATCACTTTAACCTTTTCTTGCGTCGATTCTCTAGCATATCACAGACAAAAATGTTGACATTTCAACGAGAGGGCAAACCAATAGTTAGTAAGAAAATACATATGAAATAGTTAGTGTGAACCATTATACATTCCTATTATATCACTGTATTATTGAAATACAATGAAATAAAAAGAATAATTGCCATTCAGACTTTCGTTTCGCTTCATCAAGGTATGCTTTTTTTGAAGCTAATTGAAATTTATTTTCTGGAATGTGAAGCTACCCTCCCATACATATAGAATCACTAGAATGGTAAAAACTTTAAAACCAGCACTTTCTTTTGGTGAGGAGAAAACGTGCTTTACTTTTTCGTGCTTTTTTTGTTGTATACTTAAGGATAAAATAAGAAATCAGGTAATATTTGCCTGCATCTGCACAACAACAGAGCCACATTTTTTTTGTCGCTCCTCTTCGAGTAGGCATGCAATCATGGAAGCTTAACTTCAAATAATATTCAAAAGTGTTTCTAGGGTGTGGGTGTGGATGTGGGTGTGAGTATGTTTGTTGACCGAAGAAGGAATACACCCACACCCACACGCCCACACCCACCCACACCCACCCACACCCCACACCCACCCACACCCACCCACACCCATACCCCACCCATCTTTTATGGGATCTGACTGATTTTTGAAAATTCAATATCTCGCGAACGAAACATTCTTTTGAGATGAAATTTTCAGGGCATTCTAATTTCAAGTATACCTATTTATGGACAAAATTTCAGGTCGAAATACCGCCAGTCGATTTGCTTATACATAGCGTGACATAGACTAAACTCAACTAAATTGGCTATAACTCTGTAGAGGAGGCCTATAAGGCCGAATCCTTTTAGAGTTATTATAGTCTAGAGGTCCTCTCTATATGCCCAAAATATGAGTTCAAAAGTGGTTAATCACTTCGGGCGGTTTCCTCGTTAGTCTTGCGGGTCTCCTTTTAAAGCTTTAGCAAAACGAACATAAGTCTAATTTTAGTCTAAGTGTTCACGTGGACTTGATTGCACCCAGATGATAAATTTCAATATCCATACTTTTGGCGTATTTTTTCTGCGTAATATAACATTAAACGGTGAGACTTATAAGCTCCAGGATAATGTTGGATATTTTCGATAAATACGTCTCTTTTAGTAGTAGGGTAATAATTCAACAATTCTCTTTTTATATAAACATAGCTGTTGTTAAACTTTGGATGTTTTTCCATGACTTCTCGCAACGCTACTTGCTCACAATGAGTATGTTTTAGCCACTGAGTTTGAGTGAAAGCGATTTCAAAAAGTAATTTTGCTTGAGCGCAGCTTCTAACAAGAAGAACACCTGCGTTAAAACCATTCTCATCTTGACAAGCAAAAATAGCTTTGCTATGGTCATGATAAGCCGTTCCTGTGATGTTAGTAATAGTCATGTCAAAATTGGAGATAAGCGTATCCCCGTCAGCCCATATTATCCAGTCGTAAGTTTCTTCTTCAATGGCATCACTGATAGCAATAAGTTTACTCCAATGGTAGGACCGATTTGTGGGAGGATTCAACATGTAGTAACGAAAATCACAACCTACGTATCCTGCAAAAGCCCGTTTATTTCTCTGCGAGACTGCTTCGGTTTTCTCATAAAATCTACTACGTGTTGGAATAAATGAAGATATTATCAAAATTCGAGGGTACGTAGTGTTAAGTTCGTCAATTTCTTTAAAGCGCATTTTTTCGAATTCACCACTTCTGCGCAAATCGACCCAATCATAATGTATCATGTAAGGGATAATATGTTTCGAGCGTTGAGTTTTCTTTAGTTCATGATGCTTTAAAACTGCAATGTATCTCGCGGTCTTATTTCCAATCAAACTTTTCGAATCACGACAAAATACCAGTTTGAAAGAGTCCATGCTGGCAAAGGTGGGTGACTTCAGTCGCAATATCAAGACACTTACAAAGGGTAATATAATGAGCCCACAAAGTAGTTTAACATAAAATTGTTGCATGAGGGATGAGCGTTCACGGCGCCAGTTACGGACCTCCAATAATCTTCAATAAAAACAACTTGTACCAGAGATGGAACCGGTCTGGTTTTTTTTCAGACCGGACCAGATCGGCAACAATCGGTCCCGACCGGCAAAACCGGTCTACCGCTAGAACCAGTCTATATCAGTAAAACTGGCTTACCGATAATACATCGATTATTACAGGGATAGGTTTTTTAATGTATCTCTCACAAGTTACAAAATTAGCTGATGATTCAAAAATATCATAATATTGAATCGTGATGCTGTTGCTCGATACGTCAGAGATGGAACCGATCTAGTTTTTTTCAGACCGGTACCGGTACCGGTCCAAAGCCATCAAACCGGACCGGGCCGACCTATCTACCGGTTTACCGACCGAAACCGATTTATCGGAAGAAGTTGATCTGACCGATCTACCGGTACTAAACAGGATGCTGATGATACGTCAGTTTACAAGTGAATATCCAACCTACCGACAAAATATGGATTTACCCACAGCAGGTTGAGGCTTGAAATGAAATCTTGTTTCATATTGAACTCTCTTGCGGGCTACTTTCGTACTTTCACGCATACTGGCATTATGTTATACCATTGATAACAATAGTCTCACTTATGGGCATTCTGAAAACTGTTTTTAAATAAATTCTTGTATGATCAGTGGAACTAGTCTTGGTGCGGGTTGTATTTTCATATGATTACCATCATAGAGCAGAAAGTGAAAAATATAGGCCGATAAAAGGCGATTTCGATCGGTCAAACCGGTTAGGGCCGGTTTAGACTGGTTTGAACCGGTTTAGACCTGTTTGGACCGGTTTAGACCGGTCAGACCGGTTTAAATCGGTTTGGACCGGTCAGACAGGTTTAGACCGGTCGATAAAAATCCAGACCGGTACCGGACCTGCCGGTTACCGGTACCGGCTCCATCACTGACTTGTACAGAGCCAGTTACCTATGAATACCAGTAATTTCAATGGTATATTAGCGTCTTCTGAAATTATTGATTTCATTTTTAACAACAGCAACAATTCGTAATAAGACAGTGTCAGACTCCTAAAAGCGCACAGCAATACACATGAAGGAATGACGAAACTAATTTTGGAGTAAATTTCGTCATTCTTTCGGTTAAATTTCCATCTGTTCCATACTGAGAAGAATAGTGCCGCATGAAACTGGAAAAGGATTCCGAAAAGGGTGTGGGTGTAGAGCTACCATGATGTCGACATTTCAGCTCAGCAATGAGAATCTCTACAGATGCACTCGTAGAGACATATGAAGAATCGAAAC